AAACCTCAAGACACTCCTCAGAAGTGCTGGAGCAAGAGCGAGGCAGTGGAAATGCAAGAAGACAGGGACCAGGGCCTGAGATTTTTCTTCTCATCCCACCCCGCCCCCGCCGCCCGAGAGGCCACTTAAAAAGCGCATAACTGCCCTGTGATGTATTGAACCCTCTCTCTGTGCATAAATGCGGCAGGTCAACCGCTAGGCAGAAATGCCACATATATTTCCTCCTATTAGATAAAATATGCCCCTAATTTGGCTGGGGTTTTGTTTTATTAGACCTATGGCAGCGAGGGGGGCCTGCTGCAGAGTATCCTTTTCCTGACCACTTAGTTCTCTCGGGAGAGCACTGAGGGCCTCGATAAATGGGGGAAAGAAATGCCTGCTGTATTATTTTTCAACACGCATTCCCAGAACAAAGATCTTCCAGGGCCAGGGAGACAATGCATGAGGCATTTCAGAAGCGCCCCTCCTCGAATAATTTTCTGGGGCTGGGAGTCTGGAGACCCACGTTCCAGCCCCGAGGTGTCATTTATAAATGGGAGAATTGGGCATGTTGCCTCTCTTCTCTGGGCCTCAGTTTCTCCATCTGTAAAACATGGCTGATAACAGAACCCCCATCATAGAGTTGCTTCAACGATTAAATAAGATTGAGAATGACAGAGGGCATTTAGTGTACTTCTCTGTTAATGCCTTTGTTTCCTAAGGGAAGTGCGTTTCTTGATCCCTATAGGAGACCATGTTGGTGAATTCTGCTGGGCTAAAACTAAACGATTTTTTCCCCTACAGTCCTTTAGGTGTATCTTTATACTAACTAACCCTACCCCACACAAGACTGGCTTGTGTACCTTGGGGCCACTTCATCAGGGGACAAAGATGTTATGGGGCCTGACTCAGGACTGGTGCATCCATTCCTACCTCCATGACACGAGCCACAGTCAGGGGCTGACTGTGAACGCTCAATGCTACCATGCAGAAGGGCCCTGAGCTCAGTGGTCTCTGCATTATGCTGGGACTTGGGACCCTGGTTATGTTTCCTTCTTTCCTCCAGTGGCTCTCATCTTTTGCTGCACACCTGAGGATCTGTAAAAAAATTTTTACCCCATACCAGACCAATTAAGTCAAACTCTCTGGTTATGGGAAAGAAGGGAACCCCAGTTTTTTTTTTTTTTTTTTGAGACGGAGTTTCTCTCTTGTTACCCAGGCTGGAGTGCAATGGCGCGATCTCGGCTCACCGCAACCTCCGCCTCCTGGGTTCAGGCAATTCTCCTGCCTCAGCTTCCTGAGTAGCTGGGACTACAGGCACACGCCACCATGCCCAGCTAATTTTTTGTATTTTTAGTAGAGACGGGCTTTCACCACGTTGACCAGGATGGTCTCGATCTCTTGACCTCGTGATCCACCCGCCTCGGCCTCCCAAAGTGCTGGGATTACAGGCGTGAGCCACCGCGCCTGGCGGGACCCTAGTTTTTAAAGCTCCCTAGGTGATTCTAATGCGTGGCAAAGCTGAGAATAACACTTTAGCTCTTTTCATATGATTGAGACCAGACCCTAAACCTGTGTCTTCCTCCTGCAAAGGGGTAAGTGGAAGAGCCAGAGTAGACCTGGGTGCAAACCTTGCCTTTGCGCGGCTTCCTGCCTCCATCCCTATTCACCTCGCTGCGCCTCAGCTTCCACATGCCTAAGGGGGAGTAATAACAGTGCCTGCTTCTTGGGACTGCTAGGAGGGCATCTAAGATGTTCAGCACTGTTCCTGGCACCCAGTAAGCCTTCAATAAGTAGTGAGACCATTATCATGATTACTCTGGACCAGGAATCCAGAAAACTACCTGTGCATTAGGGTCAGCTCATAAATACTTTCCGTTTTCAGGCCAGAGGGTCTTGGTGAAAGCTACTTAGCCCGAGAGCCACAGACAACATGCAAATGAATGAAAGCGATTGCGTTCCAATAAAAGCTTACAAAACAGACGGCAGGCTGGATTTGGCTCGTAATTTGCTGACACCTAATCTGGGAGATACTCTGAGTTTGAACAGTCCCGTATACACTGGTTTTGATCTATATGCTTTGGGCCTATAGTCCTAGACTGGCAGTTTTGATTGGTCTTAGAAATCTTTGTTTCATTTTCTCCTGCACACATGCTCATCTCATGGAATATTCATATGAGAACCTTATGACATTGTTTTTTTTTTAATTATACTTTAAGCTCTGGGTAGAGCATGCAGTTTGTTACATAGGTATACATGTGCCATGGTGGTTTGCTGCACCCATCAAGCTGTCATCTACATGAGATATTTCTCCTAATGTTCTCCCTCCCCTAGCCCCCACCACATGACAGGCCCCAGTATGTGATGTTCCCCTCCCTGTGTCCATGTGTTCTCATTGTTCAACTCCCACTTATGAGTGAGAACATGCGGTGTTTGGTTTTCTGTTCTTGTGTCAGTTTGCTGATAATGATGGTTTCCGGCTTCACCCATGTCCCTGCAAAGGACATGAACTCATACTTTTTTATGGCTGTATAGTATTTCATGGTGCATATATGCCACATTTTCACTATTCAGTCTATCATTGATAGGCATTTGGGTTGGTTCCAAGTCTTTTTTGCTATTGTGAACAGTGCCACAGTAAACATACGTGTGCCTGTGTCTTCATAGTGGAATGATTTATAATCCCTTGGGTATATACCCAGTAATGGGATTGCTGGATCAAATGGTATTTCTAGTTCTAGATCCTTGAACTGTCTTCCACGATGGTTGAACTAATTTACACTCCCACTAACAGTGTAAAAGTGTTCCTGTTTCTCATTTCCCATTTCCCATTTCCTCTGAAACTATTTCAAACAATAGAAAAAGGGGGACTCTTCCCTAACTAATTTTATGAGACCAGCATCATCCTGATACCAAAACCTGGCAGAGATACAACAAAAGAAAATTTCAGGCCAATTCCTTGATGAACATCGATGCAAAAATCCTCAATAAAATACTGGCAAACCAAATCCAGCAGGACATCAAAAAGCTTATCCACCACGAACAAAACGGCTTCATCCCTGGGACATCATTTTTTAAGACATGGGGGTCACACTCTGTTGCCCAGGCTGGAGTGCAGTGGTGCAATCACAGCTCACTGTAGCCTTGAACTCCTGGGCTCAAATGATCCTTCTGCCTCAGTCCCCCGAGTAGCTGGGACCACAGGCACACTCCACAATGCCCATTTAATTTTGTAATTTTTTGTAGAGATGGGGTCTCACTATGCTTCCTGGGCTGGTCTTTAACTCCTGACCTCAAGTGATCCTCCCTCCTCTGCCTGCCAAGGTGCTGGAATTACAGGTGTGAGCCACCATGCCCAGCCCTTGAAATGTGTTTTTTGAAATGGCTACCACATTATAAGGTCTTTGTAAATGCTATTTCCCAATTCTTTCAATCTTCTTCTTCTTTTTTTTTTGCAGATTGCTAGATCTGGGAAAAAGAATTATTAAGGTGGTCCTTTATTTGGCACCTGCAGTGTGTCACCGCTCCTCTCACTGAATTCTCACAGCAACTTTCTGAGTGCCCACCATTCTCATCCCCATTGTCCAATCAAGAAAAATGAAGCTTTGAGAGGCACAGACACTTGCTCAAGCTCATACAGAGGCAGAGTTTGAACCCAGTCTGTTAACCCAGAATGTATGCTTCCCGATGCCTCCTGTCCGCTGTCAGCAAAGAGGCTGGCACTTGGGCGTGAGAGGCCAGCATGCATTATCCATCCCAGACAGTCTTTTTGTTTCTAAGACTGGAAAATTCAAGAAAGAAAGAAGTTAGCAGCCAAGGAGCAAAGGCGTTCCGTTTTGAGTGTTTATAAGACATGCCCTGCATGGTCAGAATCTCTTCTGTCTGAAGCTGGGGCTTTTCTTTGGTCATCCAGCGAGCCTCTATTCTGGAGTCTGGGGAGGGGAAATTATGTTTTGGAGATTCCTCTTCACTCGCCCCAATAACCTCTCTCTTATCAAGAGCCTCATGGAATCCGAAGGAGCAGGCAGACACGATTCATCAGAATAAGGCTTGCCAGCACAACTCGCTATTTCTTGTTTCCAGCAGTTGGGGGAAGTTTTTCAGATAGATATTTTTACTTTATGCAATTCTATTTTTGTCTCAACTTATCTGATCCTCTAATTCTGTGAGGGACTTTATTTCCTTGTGATGTTAAAGCCCCAGAGCTCAAAGTTCCTTTTCTTTTAAGCTTCAAAAAACTGAAGACCCTATTCAGGGCTGAGCCAGATACCCATCAGCCCTGGTAGAAGTGAATTATCACTCAAGTCATCGCACTTGCTTACAAATCCTCCGAGGAGGTTTTTCTCCTTTTTTTTTTTTTTTTTAAGGAGTTGGGTGACAGCAACTGAAGAGCAACCACGCTTTCTAGGGGAACAAGCTTTGCAGACTGAGTCCCAGGTTGGGGGTTCACTGCCAATCACTGTCTGACCTCGGAAATGTCATTGACCACCGTGGGCCAATGACATTTGGCCATTCATTCACCCTGCCATGAATCTCCAGTATTTGTTGCCTTTTTTTTTTCTGACACAAAGAAGAACTCTCAGTGCCATTTTCTGGTCCTCCACCTATGCTCGAGTCTTACCTATCTAGGTAAATGACATTATCCTGCACCCACTACTTTGCAACTGTGCATCACCCACATCCAACTGTTCTGCACTTCTAATTTTCACCTCTGCATGCCTTTTTAATGTATCTAATTTCCCCCATATCTATTGTTGCCATCTGTCTAGGGCCATTGTCCTCCCCCTCCCGGACACTATAGCAGACTTCTGAGGGCTCTCCCTCCTTCTGCCATTGTCTCCACTCTTCAATCCATTCTCCAGCCTGGGAGAATTTTTCAAATTTGCTCTCAGCACTCCTGTTTCTAAAACCTTTTAATAGTTTCTCAATGCCCTTAGAACAGGAGCCAGCCAACTATGGACTGTGAATCAAATCCAGCCAGCTGCTTCTTTTTGTAAATAAAGTTTTATTAGAATACAGCTACACTCTTTGTTTGCGATTTGTATGTGGCTTCTCATGCATGACAACAGATTGCAGAGTTGAATCATTGCAATAGAGACTATATGACTATATGACCGAACAATCCATAAAGCTTGAAATCTTCATTATCCGGTCCTCTACAGGACTCTAACGCAGAGTCCTGACTTAGAATGATATCCAGTTCCTCAGCATGGCCTGTTAGAAAGGTAATCATATGTGGTAGTCACTCGTGTTTAAGGTCCACTTTTCTACCCGTTCCATTTCTCTCATCACAGCCTTTGCAATGTGTCTTTGCAGTTTCTCCATCAAGAGATAGATCTGATTTCCCATCCCTTGAATCTGCATTAGCCATATGACTTACTTTAATCAATAGAATGCATCAAATACAACATTGTGTCTTGTTCTTCTCTGTATCCCCAGTGTTCAGCAGATTTCCAGGCACATAGTAGGTGCTTTTTACATATATTTTTTAAATAAATGAATATAGCAAAATTTCAGTCTGTTGAACATCAGCTGCATAATGAGAAGTTTCCTGGCTGCTTAGATGCAGAAATAGGGCTCTGAGTAGCCAGGTACAAGTGGGTTCAATTTTGTCCTCTAGCACTTTGTAGTTCTGAAATCATGGCCACCTTACTTAAATTCTCTGAGCCCCATTGTCTTCTTTGGTAAAACTGGGTTGTAGATAAGAAGTAATGCGTGTAAAACGTCCAGCACAGGGACTAGCATATAGCAGGTACTTGGAAATCAGTAGCCACAATTATTTTCACTATAGTTGGGTCAAAATACTAAACAAAACAAACACACAAAAAACAAGCTTGAGTTTATTCCACTAGGTTACTAGGTCTATCTCTCTTCTTTAGGAAACAGGCCATTCTTTGACTTTTCAACTTGGGACATGAACAGATTTGTATACTTCCCTATCTTGAATGAACACCTACAAAATACAAGTCAGAAAGAGACAGAGGGTTAACTCCAGGGATAAGGCAGGGATGGGCATCATGAGTGAAGACCTGGAAGCAGGTTCTGAGCATACACACCTTGGATCCATGAGCCACAGTCTATGAACAGAACCCGTGTGTGGAGTTAAAGTTCAGGGGCACTGGGATCTGAGCCCTAAATTCAATAAACACTTAATTTTCTAGGTCCCATTATGTGTTGCTTACCAAAGATATCATACAATTACCCAACCCCTGCTGAAATGTAAAATCTGTTCTCCCTTCTTTCCATGGTAACAGCCTGCATGAATTTAGTGGGACACATGAACACCCAGAATAAGGACTACATTTCCCAGACTCCCTTGCAGCTAGTTATGTCACATGACTACATCGTGTCCTATTGGACGTAAGTTAAGATGTTTCATTGTAGCTCCTACAAATCTTTCTTAAATGACAACTAGCGCATAGTACTTTTCTCTCTGCCTGCCTTCATTTTGCTGCCCTGTGAACTTGAACATGTCACCTCAGGTCTTTATGTCTCAGTTACTTTATATGTAAGCTAGGAGCACAACCTACATCAAAGAGTTTTGGTAAAGATTAAAAGATTATTGATAATAAATACAAGGTGTATTTAAATAAGATAATAAATTTAAAATGCATGCTTTAGTGCCTGGTTTATAGGAGATATTAAACAAATACTTTTGTTACTGTCTGTGTGAACTTGAAAAACTCACATGAATCCTATGAGCTTGAGAGATTTTCTCCATTATAAAATGAGAATCGTCTTTCTATACCAGATTTAAATTAATTATCCAGAGATCTAAAAGTAAAAATGTAAAAATAACAACAAAACCATGTGAATACTAGAAGAAAGTGTGGATAGATTCCTGTATGACTAAAGTATGGGAGAAACCATTCTAATGGTGATTCAAAACATAATGTAATAAAGAAGACGGGTAAATTTGAATGCATAACCTTTTTGTAACACACATCTAAAGTAAAGTCAAAAGAGAAGCTGGAAGAAAATATTTTTAATGTATGTCACAGATAAGTAGTTGATGTCTTACCTGAGGTCAGGAGTTCAAGACCAGCCTGGCCATCACGGTGAAATCCCATCTTTAAAAAAAAATAAAAATAAAAAAATAAAAAGTTCTTAAAAATCAAGAATGAAGACAAAAAAACTCAGTTTTTAAAAATAAGCAAAAGACATGAATAGATGGTTCACTGAAAGAGGTGTAGGCATGGACCTCAAAATGTGAAAAGACATTCAATGCCATGCACAAGAAAAATGCAAATTAAAGCTAGCCAAACATAGTATTTCTTACCTCTTAGATGGACAAGAGGTGAAAACTTGACCACACAGTCTGTTGGAACATGGCACCAATGTGGGGAAACAGATGATCTCATACACTGCTGGTGGGAATGCAAATGGGGTGTTTGAAAATATATAACAATATCACATATGCATTTATCTTTTAGCCCTTCAGTTGTACACTTTAGAATTTACTTAAAAATATTCCTCTGCAAACTCAGAACAACAAATGCATGTGGTTACTCATTATGATATTATTTATAGTAGCGAAATATCAGAAACAACCTGAATGCCTACTCATAGAAGGCCGGCTAAGCAATCTAGGCATCTTCCAGATAGTGAAGTACTCAACAGCTACAAAAAATGAGGACAATTTTTACAAGCAAAAATTACTTCTAAATCTTTTTTTGCTTTAAATGAAAAAGCAAAGTGCAAGCGAGTAACTATGGTATGTTCTCTTTTATCTAGAAAATATGAAAAATAAAAATACATGAATATAGAGTCATACTTCGAACCAACCCAAATGCCCATCAGTGATAGACTGGATAAAGAAAATGTGGCACATATACACCGTGGAATACTATGCAGCCATAAAAAGGATGAGTTCATGTCCTTTGCAGGGATTTGGATGAAGCTGGAAACTACCATTCTCAGCAAACTAACATAGGAACAGAAAACCAAACACTGCATGTTCTCACTCATAAGTGGAAGTTGAACAATGAGAACACATGGACACAGGGAGGGGAACATCACACACCGGGGCCTGTTGAGGGGTGGGGGGCTAGGGCAGGGATAGTATTAGGAAACATATCTAATGTAGATGAAGGGTTGATGGGCCCAGCAAACCACCAAGGCACGTGTATACCTATGTAGCAAACCTGCACATTCTGCACGTGTATGCCAGAACTTAAAGTGTAAGAATAATAATAAAGTAAACACTGGCAGGATTCAGTTATCGGTAGAAGCGACTGTGGAAGAGAATTGAAAATGGGATGGCAGCATGGAGATAAGAATGAGACTTCTCTTGGGACTTCTTTGTCTATAACGAATTCTTTTGAATCATATAAATATTTTACAGATTCAAAGATGAAACTTAAAGATGTTGAAAAAGATATCAAACCCTAAAATTGAATGCAAGTAGAAACAAACAAGCCTAACTACACATCACGTTGATAACTCTGCTACCAACAGACGCCTAAAGTGGCTCCCAGTGACGCTCACTTCCTGGTACTCCCACCTTTTGTATGCCCCTTTTCCCTTGTACCTTGTCTGGTGCTGATGACTCACTTCTAATGAATGAAATATGGAAAAAGTGGTGAGAGTCACTCCTGACAATTAGGTTCCAACGGGCTATGGCTTCTGTCTTGTTGGTAGCCTGTCTTCCTGGTGTTTTTCAGGTGCTGGGCTTGATAGAGACAGTCACCTGGCAAGGAACTGAAGGTCACCTGGCAATGTACTGAGTGAGGAACTGAGGCGCACAATCCAGCAGCCCTCAAGGAATCAAATCCCACAGCAGCCATGTGCATAAGCGTGGAAGTAGATCCCCCCGGGTCAAGCCCCCAGAAGCACCCAGCCCTGCTGACACCTTGACCGAAGCCTGGGAGAGCTCCTGAAATACAGGACCCAGGTAAGTCACACCTGGATCCAGAGAAACTGGGAGACGATAGATGTTGCTTTAAGCCACTAAGTTCTGGGATAGTTTGTTAAGCATGAATCAATAATAATACAGCTGTAACCACGTAGGAAGGAAAGCAGCTCAAGTGACCTTTGAACACAGTTCCCTAACTATGCTCTCCATTGAATACGTTCTAAGGACAGGAACTTCAAAGAAATCTTAAATTTTAATGAATATATTGTTGTTGATAGCAGGATTGGTGTAATTCTGAAACTATTGTGCAAATATCTTGATATTGGGGAAAAAGGGGTTCTCACAGTGAAATCAGAGAGATATGATATGGAATGAAAGAACTTTGTGATGTTGGATTTCATTTGGAGGCATCAGAATGAACTCAAGTATGTCTTCTGTTTACCGAAAGAAACTAGAAACAGCAATACCCTTATAGTAATAAGCATACCCAGAACACATATTTTGGCTTTTATTATATTTGTTGTTGAGACAGGATCTCACTCTGTCACCCAGGCTGGAATGCAATGGCACCGTCTCCACCCACTGTAGCCTTGACCTCCTGGGCTCAAGCCTCCCGAGTAGCTGTGACTACATGCACGCACCACCATGCCTGGCTAATTTTTGTATTTTTCTTGGTAGAGGTGGGATTTTGTCATTTTGCCCAGGCTAGTCTGGAACTCCTGGGCTCAAGTGATTCTCCTGCCTTGATATCATGGCTTTTAAATGCCATTCTCCACTGAAAGGGGATCGGGTCATGTTGGAGAAATGGATGAGTTAAGGATTTGAGCAAGGAAAATAGAAGATGAGTCTGGAACATTCTATTGTGTCAGAAAGTAAGGACGTTCTCACAGAACGAAGGAGGCATATGCACAAGGATGCAAAGACCAGCTTGCAGGGAGTCCCCTCGGCTAAACCTGGGACAATTTGAGCATTAAAATAACACTCATGCATACTATAGAAAATAAGAGGAGACCAGTAGAAAACACTTCTTTACCAAAGAATGTTAACAGTGTAAAACAAAATGATTAATTTTAAAAAGTCCATGCTGCAACCGTCCCTGTAAAATATCTGACTCTGGCAAGGATCATTAATGAATCCCAAGACTATGGATTGAAAGTTTGCGAGAGAAAAGGGTGCTTACATACTCCCAGAGTGCTACAGTGCTATCCCATGGATTATATTATTTACATAGGGAAAGAGTGTTTAACAATAGGAATATCTAGTGGGTCCCACCTTAACCAACTGACCAAATACTTAGCATATCCAGTAATGGGAACAAGTGACGTCGTGTGTTCCCCGAAGAGATGCAATGAAAACACATACCTTTGTGATATGACTGCCCAAAAGGCTTACCCTGAATCATTTGGTGAGGATGTCATTGGAGAAACCCAGATTGTGAGACATTCAAAACGCAATTGGTCCAGACTCTTCAAAACTGTCGATGCCATTAAAAGGGAAGGAAAAAGGCGAGGAGCTGTTCTAGATCGAGGGAGAGGGAAGAGGCATGAAAACCAACCATGAAAACGTGTGATCCTGCTTTGGATCCTCACGTGGATTGATGGAGGCAGACGTCCTCCTTGTCAGTGGGCACAAGCTCTCCTCCCAGAAGCCTTGATTCCAGCCTGAAACTCAGAGCCATCCTCCCCACCCCGTATCTGCGGCACTTTGAGGATATGGAGGAGAGAATTGTAAAGCTATTTGCTAAACTTTCTCTGGACGTTCCCTCCCTCTCCCTGACCACCCCGCCCCACTTCCTGGCAAGCATTCTGGCTGTGATTTCATCTGGAATTACTGGAATCACACTGTCTCCTGTCAGCTTTCCCTCCCTCCCCCGGCCCTCCTGCTGATGGGAGACAGGAGCGATGGATGGTCAGAGTTAGCAGGGACCTGGCTCCACCCAGCGCACAGGCACTGCACTCACGCCCCCCATGCACATGCCGGCTCACCTCCTCCGTCCCCTGCCTCCCCTGTCTCCAGATCTGTCTCTTACTTTATTTTTCTCTCCACCTCCTTGTGCCTGCCTGCCTGCCTAAAGATTTCTCATGCTTAATCCTCCTGTATCTCCCTTGCTGTCTTTCTCTGTCATTGTATCTCTTGGTATCTCAGGTCCACGTCCTCAGTTTCTCTGTTTTCCTCTACCTATTTCTTCCTCAGAGGCATTTTTGCCCCAATGTCTCTGTATGTTCCTTGCCGCATTTCCTCTGGAATACATCAGCACTGTTGCCTTTGAGGCTGGCCCACCTGGGTGCACACCTGAGCTCTGGATTCACAGGTAGGTGTGTGACCTTCCTTAACTTCTCTGGGCCTCAGCATCCTCCTTTATACAGTGGGAATAACAATAGCACTTCTCACATGAAGTTCTGCAGGGAGTCGAAAAACTGCCACAGGCAAGCACTCCATAAACTCTCCAGTGGGCTAGAATCCGCACTGCATACCTTGGTCTCCACAACCCCCCTCCTGCCTTTCTCCAACCAAGTCTTCTTTGATCCCTGCTTTCTTCACACACTCTAGCCTCATCCATACCTTGTTTCTAAACACAAGCTCACTCCCATCTCTAGGCCTTTGTCCTTGCAGATCGTCTCCCTGGGGGGCTCTTTCCAAAGACTTTGATGGTATCTACTTGTCACATCATTCCAGCCTTCTGGGACTCTTTGTGGTGGTTTTAAAATATGCCCTTACATTCTTTGACACTACTCTCTTTGAAAGGCAGTGATTCATTCCCCTCTCCTTGAGTGTGGACTGGACTTTTTGACTTGCTCTTGAAGAATAGAATGTGGTGGAGAGAGATGGTGTGTGACCTCTGAGATTAGGTCATAAGTGACATTTCAGCTTCCCCCAGCAATTTCCTGGATCACTCACAGTAGAGGAAGACAGATGCCATGTCATGAGGGTGCTCAAGGAGCTTTCTGGAAATGTATGTATGGAGAGAAACTGAGGCCTCCTGCCAACAGCCAGCACTAACTTGCCAAGCATGTTTGTGAGCCACCTGGGAAGGGGAACCCTCAGCCCCAGCTGAACCTTCAGATGAGACTGCAGTCCTGGCCACCATCTGGACTGCAACCTCACAAGAGACCCTAAGCCAGAGCCATGCAGATGGATTCTTTGTCCTTAGAAATTGTGCCACTACATTTTGGGTAATTCGTTATGCAGCCATAGATAACCAATACACTCACTGTTACTTTTTTCTGATGCCATACTATACATTTGTTTGCTGATTTTTTCCTCCATCTCTCCCACTAGGTGTTCAGTTCCATAAGGGCAGTGGCTATGCCTGTGTGGTTCATCCCCGTGTCCTCACAGCCTGGTGTATGGAGCTCACTAAGTAACTCAGGCATGTGTAAATGGAGATCAGCCATTTCAGGCTCAGCCTAAGAAATCTCCTCCTATGGATCTCTCTAGAGAGAGCAGTAAAGTTTGCCTAACTTCTTTTTTTTTTTTTGTCTTTCTGCATTTGGTTTCTTGTACTTTCTGCTTAGTCTTATTCCTGGCTGCCTGACAGAGGGTGGGTTTATGCAGCTAAAGAGGCATCTGTGGGAGGAAGGGCTCTGTATGCTTTCTCCTCTAATAAGCTGTGTCCAAAAAAGAGAAAAACCTTGTTCTTTTGCAATAGGAATGAAAATAGTGCAGATATTGTGTGGCTGAAGACTGAGGCAGCTCTATTCTCTCTGAGCAGCCCCAGTCTGATCACTTATCCACACACGAATTGTACTCACTTATTCATTTATCCATCCTTCACCCAGTCAATTATTGATTAATTCTATATTTATTATTAGCTTATCTATTTATATCTACTAATGTGTATCTCTTAATTCATTACCTATCCTATATTTACACTTATTAATTAATCCATTTATCCATCCATGCACTCAACTATTTATCCATCCATTCACTCTCCATCTACCATCCATTTATACTCCATCTATAAATTTATCCATCATTCATCCATTCACCCACCATCCACCCATCTTTCCATTCATCCACCCATTCTTTTGTCCGTCCATCCATCTGTTCATCCACCAACCCATCCATCTACCCATCTATCCACTTATCCATCATCCATTGATTCACCCATCCATCCACCATCCATTCGTCATCCATCCATCCATCCATCCATCCACTCATCCATTTATCCACTCATCTGTCCACTTATCCATTATCCATTCATTCACCCATTCATTCAACTATCCTTTCATCCACCCATCTATCCACTTATCCATCATCCATTCACCCATCCTGCATTCATCCATTATCCATTGATATACTTTTCATTTAATCCAAATATCCTAATGCCCTGATGTGAATTAATGAATCTATTTAGTTAACCATGTGTCTATTTATTATATATTTAAATTCATTAATTCACTAAACCTTCAATTCAGACCTCCCTGAGTATTTACAAGTATTTACTACTTTGTGCCAAGTGCTATGTTAGGCTCTGGAATTAGGAGGTGGAGGCTTAGGACCTGGTTCCTACCTGCATGCACTTCACCCCACTAATTTCTGGAATTCAGGTGAGGAGCTGTTCATGGGAGATCCTGAACTGAGAAAAAATTTCTGCTCTCTAGAGATTCATGATGTGACAGGGCTGGATCATGACACCTGGTTCTGGTTCTACCACTGGAATCTTAGACTTCCAGATGAGCCTCAGTTTTCTTTGCTGGGAAACAGGGACAATGTTGGTAAAACCATCTTGAATGACTTCCATGTGAACTCAGTAATGCAGTGGCTTTATAAACTGTAGAATGTGCTATAATTGTGTGTGTGTGTGTGTGTGTGTGTGTGTGTGTGTGTGCTTGTACAAGGTTTCTTTTGAGTTTCCTATCAGCCGGGCATCACACCACTGGAGAACCAGCTCCCCTTGCTACCACAGGTCATCTTTGGCTTCTTGCTGGTACACCAGACAGCACCTGGCAGCCGTGAACAAACCAAGTGCACTCTGGAGGGTTGAAGATGCTGATTGTGAACCCAGGGTGTCTTGGGGAGCTAGCAGTCTTTCTTCCTCAAGAAAGAGATAATCATTATTTAAATTTCATCTGGGCAGTGAATGAGACATTTTTAAACACCTCCCTCCCCATCCCAGAACTGCCGATTCTCAAGGTTAACTGCATCTTCAAAGTTTATTAACCAAGAACTACTGTGGCTCTGGTGATCCTGGAATAAGACAGACCTGCCTTCTAATTTCCACTGAGCTCTTTGTATGCTTCGTGATCCCAGGAAGATTGCTTCACTTCTCTGAGCCTCCATTTCCTCACCTATCAAGTGGAGCTTAAAAATACTTCCAAGGCTGTTGTTGGGAGCATCACATGGGCAGCGTGGGTGCCTAGTAAAGATTGGCTGCTATCATTCAAGAAGGATGCTGTGAGCCTGCACATGAGTCAGCAGGGGAGAGAAGGAAGGATTCTGCCCAGAACAAGTCAAGGAAAATCAGATGCAATTTTCAGTTATTGAGTCACAGTCTTTGTGGTATGTAAGGAGATAGAGGATTCCTCCTCCCAACCGATGTCTTTACAATGTTCTTTCCACAGAACTCTGTGGATTACAAGGCAGGCTCTGCACTTTATCCTGTTTAATCTTCACCCTGCATGTAGTGTGAGTGGCGTCCCTCCACCCCTTTTTCCATCAGAACATTAGAACCGCAAGGTTCTTAGAGCTGGTCTAGTCCAGAGATCTTGGACTGGGGGGCCTGCAGGCTGGTGACTCTCATCTGGTCTCAACCATATCAGGAGACCAGAAACTCAGTGAAGCCACGTGGAGGGGCTAGTGTTGGGTCCTCTGGGTGGAGACTGAGAAGCTTGGTGGACATGCGAGATCCCTCAGGACCAGCCCCACGCTCCTTCCTCACCTCGTTCTTCATTCTCAAGTCATCCTGAACTCTGTAAAGTCTCAGAATGACACTGGCTGTCACTGGCCTTCGCATATGTTGCTACTTATTCCTAAAATTCCCTTCCACTCACTTTTCGTCCAGATCTTTACTCATCCCTTTTTGCCCAGATCCCTTTTTACCCAGATTTCTACTCCTCTTTCAGGTCTTAAGCCCAGATCATGTTCCAGGAAGGCCTCTTCTGTCTGGGTTGCGAAGGGGGCTTCTTTGTGTTCCTAGAGACCTCTGGACTCCCCTTACCCCTGATAAGTCTGTCTCTAGGCTGTCTGTGTCTATTTGCATGTTTGCTTCTCCCCATGGACCAGAAAGTCCTTGGAGACTTGGTGCGGGCACCATTCACTCCATGCCCTTAGGCTGTAGGGTAATGACAGCACAGACAGATACTCAGAGGCATCTTTGTATGAATGACTATAGTGAATGAATGAATGAATGAATTTTGGCATAAAAACGTGGGTCTCATTCTTTCCCACCAGTGTGCTTTTTACAACATTATCTGGATGAGGCTCAGAGAAGTTAGGCAACTTCCCTGAGGTCCCCAGCAGGAAAGAAGCAGAGTCCAGTGTTGGTGTCATTTATGTTGTCCAAGTAAGACAGCATTTGGCAGTGAAGTGAGCCCTGAATTTGGGGCCCAGAGACCTGGCTTGAAGCTTGGAGAAACGCTGTTTGCCTCTCTGGGCCTCAATCCCTGAATCTCCAAAGTGCCCTGTTTGCCTCTCTGGGGCTCAGCCTCTGCCTCTGTAAAGTGGGGCTGCAACCAGATTCCATAGTGAGTGTCTAGGTCTCTGGGCATGCTCAGGAACACCTTCACAGGGAAAATAAGCTCACGTGGG